CTATTAGTAGTGTGCACGATGTTGACGGAAAATCAAAATGATAATTCAGTATTCTCAAACTGTAATGAAATAATCGCTGAAACTGATAAACTGATCTAAAATTGGTAATCATGTTAATACGGAAATGTCTTATCGTAAACGCCTGAAACAGATGTTTTATCGTTAATCAACGCATGAATGAAATATTTCTTACGATTAATAGAATTTTTTAGCACAATTTGCATATGATTAGATAATATTTATTAAATTTTATGTTGTATGTTCTAATTGATGCATACATCATCAAGTTCGTAAGTGCTTTGTGGGATGAATATTATAAAGTTGAATTAATCGCGCTCTCTGTGTTGCGCCTTGCTTGAATTGCTCAGGCAATAAAGGATGGCACTAGCACATAAATGTTCGTTCGTGTAATTCATCCATTTATGGATATATACGCTAACGTCTGTTTGACGTGTGCACATATGCTTGTTACAAGCATTTCTTTTCAGGTTTTTTCAGCTGTCTGTTATTAGTTGTAGATAACTTTATGATACACAGTAATACTCATTTATACGTTATTCCTTCACGAGCAACACATAACTCGGAAATGTTACTTTATTATCATCTATTTCATTTCACGTGTTAGATTTTACTCACAATTAGTTTATGTCAATTATCCAGCACTGCTTCAGTTTTGTGATCAATACCGAATTCTCAATCGATTATCTCACCGTATCATCCGTTATGCATTCATTTACTACACTCGAATGAGTGAATTACCGGTCCGACTATATTTTGGACTGTAGTTTCACGATGCTTTGTTATCACTTACTCACCTATTTGACATAGAATACGTTTGATTTAACAGGAGTGACATGGAACCATTAGTAATGTGCATGGAACAGAGGTGCGATTTGAAAGGAGCTACTGAACATGAATGGAATATCAAATAATAGAATGAAGTCATATTCTAAGAAGATATACTGTATCTTCTAAATGAAAAATATATGCGATTTAGGCCAAGAGTTCACAGTGTGAAAGTAACATCGAAGAATATGGATAAGTTAGACCTGCTCATACTCAAAACCGTTCACTTCGATATTCGATCATTCTAGATAATTTAATATTCTTTTCGGTTAAATCCTGAATTGCATTGCAGATCAGCAACGAGATGTTTCCGAATGTCTAGCGATTCTTCGTTTGCATATATTGAATGGATAAATGACACTGATTAAAAAGCATTCAGCAAGCAAACCATTCTCATTCCCATTCTAGTGTTCATCGTTTGTAATTGAGTAAAATGATGAACGTTATGAAGCGAAAGAATTTTGACACAGGATGATGCAGTGAGAAGAAGAGATCATGTTGTTGATTTGACGAAATTGGGCGCAAGGGGGTGGGGCAGCATTGAAATCGTGATCAGCACGATGTTGATCAGCTCAGCTCAGCAACAGCACCACCATCATAATCATCCAGAAAACAATTTCAGAACGGAGGAGGGGCCTAGACACGCGCGAGGAAACCAACCGGCACATACGACTACTTTATACGTGTGCCGTCCGTCTCCTCTTAATGTTCGATTCTCAATCATCATTTCTTCTTGTAGTAGCGGTTGCTGCTGCTTGCATGACTGACGACTACTGCCTGATACTCAGTGCGTCGTCGGTGTCTTCTAGAAACGGTGTTAGGCTTACCCCTGTCTTCACCGTTGTTCTCATTTGATAGAATATTATTTGCCTTCTGAAGCTGAAATCAAACTAGTGATCGTAACCGAATCAGTCATTCATTCGGTGATATCTTTCTTCCTTTTTATTCCCTTTCATTTCACTAACTTCTCGTCAACACTTTAATTCGTCTAACAACTTCAACTATATATAGTGATACACGATGATGCATTATTCTATCTCCTGTCTTCCCTTGCACCAAACACATCAACTCATTTGTATTACGGTGTTTTTGGACCAGTGACGCATGTACTATAATGCCAGTTTGGTGACATAAGAATAATATCATGTGATTGTAAATCATTCTTTGGAGTATTCGCCAAATAGTATGCTTTATAGTCCGTTCATATCAATATCACATTCTATTATGCAGTTGATTTATTACTCCATTTAAAAAATTCATGTTGTGATTCATAGATGTCTTAGCTGAAACAGTTATTTGATGCAACCAGGTTTTTGACTTGAAATGAGAATCAAACTCTTTATTCCTATTTGCTATACCACAATTGAGTATTAAAAGATGTAAATGTTGAGTTGAAGATATTTCAATAAAATATCATTCTCTTGAAGAGGAGAACTTCCAGTGATAAGTTTGATTGTTTGCTTTATTCAGCACTCTCAGAATCAGTTGCGAATGTGATTCGCTGTTGAGGAATATTGACACATGAACATACTGCAGTGCAGCATCTCGATGATGCCATTGGTGGTTTCATCCTCATGATTAATAACCTAAGAGCGCGTTTCTGGAAAATGAAATCATATCGAAAACATTGATTCACGTTCATTCAAAAGTGAAGTTTGTTCAGCTTGACTGTGTACCGATTATTGTTCTTTTCCGACCATTTATAACAAGCATTATGATCGTCTGTTTCCTTTTCTCTAGCAAAGCATCACGGAAACATCGGCGACAACATCGTTGCTTCACTGCTCGTTTATCATTTTCTTCACTCATTTTGTCTGCTGCATTCATCCGAAAACTGCTTGAGTTGTTGGTTTGGTGGTTAGAATCGCTGTGCTTCAAATACCATATTGTCGCTTACCTGACACTGAATTATCGGTGAAGTAGGATGGCAGGAAAATTGAGTTTGATTATAACCTCTCACGCTCATTAGTCCTCTCAAAACTCTCCTGCAAGGATCAGTGTTGATATTACACTGACTGTCACGTTGCACATTGTCATTGGTTATTTCTTCTGATGAATTGTTCTACAGTAAAATACTTGAAGTCGCTCCGCTATTGTTCCGTCTGTATGGTGCTCAGCACGAGGGATCGGGTCGAGATCACTTGGATCTTGTTTTGGTTAACTCATATTTTAATTCGGCTGAGTGCTTGTGATATGCCATCCGCACACGTGGATAAATGCTGTAGCAGAGGAGGGCTTACGAATACAAGTCACTGAAAAACAGTGATCCTTGGCTCACTGTTAGTATTGAAACTGTAGATCCCTTGAATATGGGGCAGGGAAAAAATTAATGGTATCGGCTTTCTCATATATGGACGAAGAAGTACCTTAGTTGAGCATACTCAAGAAGAAGAGTGGTTGAGTGCATTTTTATCAGTTGGACATATTCAGATTGCTAGCTTTCAGCCATGGACTCCTTTGATGAGAGAGCGGTGAAATTCGTCTATCAGTTGTGACTTAATCACACAAAGTCTATCAAATTCAAGCAATATAAAAAACCCAAGCGCATCTCACGAGCAAAGAAATGATTCGTTCTCACAGAATTTAGAGCACTACAAAATGTGCTCGATTAAAAATAAAAGCGATTGCTTAATTGAGCATGAACTTCGTCCCGGGTTGTTTGTGATTCGTTTACTGTATTCACTGCATCACTGTATTCACAGGTAACTTAAACACGATGATTTAGAAGTGAAGTTCACTGAAGTCAACATCGAATCTATTGCAACGCGTCAACTACGCTCTTGATTTTAGTGTTTTGACTGTATGATTTCGTTGGTAAGAACGTACAAAAACGATGCATCTGGTTGTGAAATGAAAAGAGATTCATCGTCGTAGTATTATAATGACATACGAAATGCTTGCATAAATATACTTGATTCAAAGAGGAGACTACGCATCCATATGAATTTGAATGAGGAAGATTAGTGTCATTGAGATGTATGTAGGTGTGTGCAATTCGGGGAATTGATATTATTATTATTGATATTATTATTATTATCATCATTATTATTACGATTGATATTGATATTATCATCATTAGCAGAGTCATCGTTACCAACAATTCGAAATCATGTGATGCAATGTATGCTGCACTTTTTTTATGCCGAGCGTCCGGATTGTTGTATATAACGACAGCAATGCTGCTGACTGTTTGTGATCGTGAATATGAGTCGTGGCGTAATCCGTTGAAGAGCATTTCCCTACATTTGAAGTCAACAAGCTTAAAGACACTTTTTTTAAAATAATTCAGTAAATGTCACTAGGTTCAGTTATTTCTGAAGTAAAGAAAATAACAGCCGTGGGCATGCTCTGATTTGATTACAGCCTTCGTGGTCGTCACTCTAAGTGGATAGATATCAGTTTTTCAGTTGGGAGTTGAAGTCCGACGGCATTTGAACCTTACAATCTCTTGGGATTTGATGAAGTTCTCAAGCTACGATTCCTCAGCAATTGTCAGAGAACCTCTTTTTGTTTTCGTTCATTTTGAAAGAACAATCTAATCAGTAGGAAGATTTCGGTGTTGTTCGCTCAACTTGAACTTATCGATAGATTGTATAAATCATAAAATACTTTCGAAATACATTTACATTGGAGTCAAGAAGTGTTGTGAATGAACATTATTGATAAATAACGAACGGAATCAACGAAGAAGATATATTGTAATAATTGAAAAATGAACAATCTTCTCAGTTCCGATGGAAAACGTTTAAGAGATTGGTTTTTTAAGTAAGGGAAGAACATGGAAAGGATGATCGAAAGGAGCAGTGTTTAGCAATTCTTTTTTGATTGCTGATTTATATTCTCAGCGAATAAACAAGCAAATTCCTAAAACATTTTCGATCTTTTTGTTTCCTTTTCTTGAATTCATCAGAATCCATTCGACTTAAATCGACATCAATTAATGCTGATATTTCTCGCACGGCTGTCTAAAAAAATCGAATTGATTTCGTTCGAAATGACATTTTTTCGGAAAATGTTTGGGCGCTCGTGAATGTTGTCGTTTATATTTCATATATTTGATTGATTCCACACGCTTGGAGAGGTTTTTGGTTCATCTGAACAATGTTCGGCTGATATGATGATGAAAAACTTGTAGGAATTGACTAATTTTGTTGATGTCCTCAAGCAGTGCTATTCCACAGCAGCTGAATACCACTCCATTTGTACAGCAATCAACGATCAATCTTAATCCCTTCCAACACTTTCCATTCGCTTATCATCAGTCACCGAGTTCGCCTCAACGTATCAAACTGAAACGAGCCAGACAACGTGTTGACGCTGGTGAGCCACGTAATTCATACCAGGTGATTTCAGATCTTCGTTGAAAACTTATTTCACTTAGCACACTACATCAACTAAGTTCGTCAGTTACTTAGTTGATCCACACTTGCTCTGATTGTTTGAACGTGTCTCTTATTGCACATTCCTCTAGATGAATCCCCATTTCAGCTCAAGAATTATGCTGAGTAATGAAAACCTTTCGAATCATGAGGGTGAAGGCAATATGTGTGTTCAACGTGTGTGCCGGTATAACAGTATGTGAGATTGTTGATTCAGTGAATAATGGTTATCTCTTCGATAAAGATATTGACAATGAGCAAATATCTTACAAAAACAGTCAAAATTGCATCCAATAACCAAACGCCGTGCACGTATCATCATTCGATGCGACGACCGCATAATAAAAACGAGAATGAGTCGCTCTGTAGGCAAATAGATACAAATTAATCAAGCGACAGAATATGAAACAGTTTTATTCATTATTATCCGAGAAGCATTGCGCGATGGCATTTTACAGTATCGCACATATAAATATAGTACCAACGCTATATGTTCATTATTTACTCAATGCGATATGCGACTCGTTGCTTGAAATGTAAAGACTGCTGAGTACATACACGAAGATGATGCACATTCATCGTCTCTCAACGTTGAGATAGTAGATGTATGTCAACTTAAGGGAGCGGATTTGTGCATGCCATCCTCATTCATTCGCTTTGAATAATCCAACGTCTAGGCTGTCAGCGAGCCGAGCGTATCACTCGTTTGCTGCATTCAGTAACCAAATAATCGAATCGAACAACGAAACACATTCATAACCGAGGACTGAATAGGGAACAGTGTGAACAGGGAATGAATTACTGCATTCAACATCGAGACTGAAAGCAAGCAGTCTTAATCGATGCTCAGATCAGTCTTGTAAATTCTTCTTAAGTTGAGTGGCACACTTTAGTTGATTTCTGATACGCCCACCTCTACATGTATACGACGACGAGCTGTTCGTATATTCTTATTGTAAGAGAGTGTACAGCACTGAAGAAGGTTACATTGATCGATTAGCAGCAATACTTGCCATCAGATGGCTGTTGATGTATGGGTTGATGGTTTATCGTTTCTTGTGCCTTCGATGATTGGATTGATCGGTTGTAATACGGTGTTTAAAGGATTCGAGAAGGAGATGAGTCGAAACCATCAGTACGTGTTTTGACGAAGTGTCATTGAGTATATCCAAATGTTTTAGGCGAATAATCGAACGCCGAACATCAATAGCGCAATGATACAACAGCGATTCCCAAATGGATTTCAATTTGTTGGAACGAATGAGAATGGAGGTGCTTCATTGGGTGCGGCACTGTTTCCTTGGATGAACAATCAAGCGAATTCAGAAGTGTCGACAGACACTGAGATATTGAAAGATTTTGGTGTTGTTCATGATTTGAGTCAGCATAATGCCACTGATAATGACGAGGTACAATCTCACCTGGTGATTTGTTGAGCAATCCTTTGATCCTTCTATAAAATTAAGTGTTCGCTCAAACGTACACGTGGATTCCGTTTTCGTGTTTGAGGAGTCCATTAAACGAAAGAATGAAATGCATAAAATTCCGAGCTTTATGCAAAAGAAGTCAACCCTTTCCTTGGAACCGTTGGCTGAAATTTTGAAAGAGCAAGTTTTGAGAGGAAAATAAACTAACTTTTAGGATGCTGGAGGCTCTTGTAAATCGCTGGCTGCAGATGATGATCGTGAATCGCAAGAAACGGAGAAAAGTAATGGTGAAGTGACAGCAAAAGAGGATGATTTGGTTTGTTTTTGACCAAAACAAAAAGAAAGATGTTACTAGTATGCACGAGATATTCATACAGATCTATCCAGAACATTCATGCCAAGAATCATTTTCATCAGCTGGTGATTTAGCAATTTGAACTTCAGGACGAGTTGAAAGAGGATAAAACAAGCGGTGATAGGGGCAAGAATTCCCCGTCAAATACACTGATGATGAGCGCTGGTAACATTAGCAATAGTAGTAGCTCGTCACGTCGAAAGAATGCCATACCACAGCGACAACAACTCGTTGAAGAAAGTGAAGATTGCAACAATAATGCTGGTAATGCACATTCAACTATTCACTGCTTTGATCAAATTTTATTCACTTCTTTCATAAAGCAGTCAAAATTCGCTATGATCTCATGCCTTTTTGATTATCAGTAACCAGTGTTCTGCCATCATTTCTTTGCATTCTTCAGTGTCTCGGCATGGCTGAGGATGATCAGGTGATTGTGTTTCTTCAGTGAACTTATAAATGACCGAATCTTGTTGACTTTCTATTCCTTCTTTGAAAGCGGAAGTTACAGTGCGCGAACATTCAGAATTTCCTTTCTGAATAACTGACAATGAGTACATTCTTAAAAATAATCTTCAATTAAACGCCTATTTACCAGTGTGAACGCAATCGTTCCATACAAACACACAAATGACCTTTTGCTCATGATCAGAGAATATTTCCAGCCGTAAAGGAAGTTGCTAAAGATTTGAGAGGAATAAACAAGCGAGAAAGATTCGCTAATCTTAGCTAAGAATCGTCAGCGTTCACATTTTAGATGCATTTATGAGTTATGCTAACAACATGTGACTTATTCGTTTGATTCGAAAGTCCAAATTTCCTGCTTGTCTTTAATCACAAGCAATCATCAAATACAATTTAGTGCCCACTGAAACTGAAAACGAGGATTGTGTTAATAATAACGATTCGATGGTTGAAGAGGTGAAGTCTTCAGTGGAAGTCATGCCTCAGAGCACATTGGCCGCTACACTGGCTGCGAATAATTTCAGTCATCAAGTTCGTCTTTTTTCAACAATTCATTTTATCAGTTTGTGAAATAACTTCAACGAAGTTACGTTCAGTTGAGATTTGCTTTATTGCAGAATAGAGAATAGGGACTGATATGAAGTGTGTTTTGGCGTTGATGTAAAGTGAATACTTGCTTCAGAATAAACTTCAAGAAATGTTCGAAATGCAACGACGGATCTACGCGAATTGGGTGGAACAACAGAAGAAACTTTTGGGTGTTCACGAGGAGGAACATCGACGAGCGCAACTCGCACATGCACAGCAACAGATTCAGAGGGACTTCGCGAAATTAGCACAAGCGCTGAAGCAGGAAATTGTTAATACACTGACTGGCAGCATTGATAAGGTATATCTCCTATCCCGTATCACTTCTGTTGGTTATGTAGATGCGATAAGAGCGATTCTTGCACAGTCAACCGTGTTAGAGGGGTTGAGTATATTAACTCACATAGTCAACCACTCAAACTGAACTTATATGGCATAGAAGTGATCAAGTTGAATTAACTTTTCAACCGAAATTAGTTTGAGTAGACCTGGTTTAGATCAATTGAACGACGGTAAACAGGGTTATTTTTGGGGGAAAATGAAGTTGAATGCTGAGACAAGAATGAAATCGAAGAAGTAAATTTGAGTAAAATTCAGGTGATATCAGAGTTCGTTGCATCGGAAACAGCTGCGAATGTTCAGCGGTTAGCCGCCATTCAACAGCAGCAACACCAGCAACAGCAGCAACAACAAGAACGTGAACGTGAACAAAACACCGCAGCAGCCATCTCGACAATCACACGAACACCCGTACCGTTCGTATTCCCATCCCTCTACCACCCGTTCGGCACCCAAACTGCAGCCTCAGCCTTCCCAAACCCCTTCCTACAAGCGCAACCAATGCCTCCGTCGGGTATTTTTCCACCGACTGCCCCACAAAATCACGCAGCTGCGGCTGCAGCCGCCTTCAATCCATTCCTCTCACATCATCTCAAAACTGCCTCACCAGCAAATAATGCACTTCGAAAAAGCGATGACTTGAGGTTCTTTCCTCTCCCATTCACTTTATCGTCTTCAGCATGAAGTTTTTACTGCTCTTTCTCAGTTTTCTAGTAGGATCTTTCATGGATCAAATGTTCCTCTCTTAAGCGAATATCATGAGTGAACGAACAGTTTGGTCGATGTTAGGGGCGATTTTGCGTGTTGTTGATAACAATAAACTGGAAGAAATGATAATTTTATTTAGTAAGAAGAGATATTTGCAGCCCATTTGCGCCAAGAAAGAAGCGTTCGAAAGTGACAGATTGCACGAGATTGAATAAATCATCATCGATTTTGACACGTGATGGGTCGTCTCTCCCTAACAGTGCTCGTTCATCTCCACAGGTTGGGCATTTATTCGTCTCGAGTGCACCATACCTCCGTGAATGCAATCGCGCAAACGAAATCATAGTTGAAGATGTTCTAGGCAGTCAAAATAGTGTAGTGACTTTCGTATTGAATTGAGGAACGCTGTTTCCCTATCGGTGACACTCACCGATTTTTATCGCAGTAATAATCATTCAACCAATGAACACACACTTCAATGAAGACGTAGATGGTGTGCGGTTAAGATATACATCACAGTTTACGGTAGAACGGTTGGTATACAGTACTCGCATTGGAGTTGAGCACTGAGCGTGTCTTTTGATGATGGTGAAGATGGCTTGGGTGTTGAGTCAACATACTTGCGAAATATTATGCAGACATAGCATTGCTCTAGGTGAACGGAAATAAGAAAGAGCGTCATTTCTTCTGATGAAGCTTCTTATTTCAAATATTGTTGACTTGTAATACCACATCTGTGCACTTGTGATAGATCAATTCGTGTGAATTCTTTGTTCACTCCTCCCTAAGGCATTCGTTGGTGCTGAGTGCTTCGCTGAATTTCGAACATTCCCATGTCATTGAGTGATAATTGGTTGTTCAATGAAGGATGTTGATAATTTCAAAAGTTTTGATATTGATCAACTTCCATCTTGTTTTTTTCAGTTATCATCTTATTTTCCACCAACAATGGTTGGCCATCCTTTGTATGGTGGTGCATCATTTACTGCCGATGAGAGGGAAAGTCCAACGAATTCGGACGATACGAGCGATTGTGGCGCTTATGATGGAAATATGAACGCCAGGTAAAAGTTGAAAAATGTGAACGATTTAAGGCTTTGTCGCTGTCTCATCGAATAGAAAGGACTATTTGAGAAAAACAGAATTACGCGTTGGAGAACACCTCACCGGATGAATTGAATTATCTCATTTAAACTTTCATTTAATTTTTCAGCGCAACCTTAACACCGATGCATTTGCGCAAAGCCAAACTGATGTTCTTTTACACGCGCTATCCGAATTCGGCCCTTCTCAAGTCATATTTCCCGGACATTCGTTTCAACAAGAATAACACCGCACAACTCGTCAAATGGTTCTCAAATTTCCGGTCAGTTCGTTCTCACTTTTATCGTCGTTCATCATCATTTGTCATTCATCATCAATTATGCTTTGCTGTGCTCGATGTTCCAAGGAAAAGGGAATATGTCAAGTCAGACTGACTAACTCAACCATTTCATGCTGAAGCTACATTTCCAGTCCAGTATCATAGTTTCAGTGAGTAATCATCTGAACTAATTGTAAGCATGTTCAATTTCCCATCCATCTTCCACTAATAACTGGTAAATCAATCACATTCACATGTCTGCTGCTGCTGGTGTCCGTCTCGTTAAGCAACTATCAATGCTTCACTGAGCATCGTGCATCACTCCCGCTGTGACTTAACCAACCAATGATCAGTTGCGAATTTCACATATAACATATATCATCAACACTGCGAACGTAGATTTGATTTTAAATCAAGATAATACAGACAAACAACTGTTTTATAACACCATTTATAACATGATCACACACATCCCAACGAGACATCAGCACACCATCAATATCATTGTTACTCAGTCATTCATTCATATCACTCGCTAACTGGACATTTATCATCATCATTAACGCATCACTTTATATGTACCAATTTTATGTAGGCAATCATTTTTCTGAGAATGACACGATTACAATCGAATTCGTGACAGCAATCGAGCACACAAATGTGAACGTATGTTTTGATTCGCTGTACGCATCGACTCCGATAAAATTGTGAATTTTTGAAGAATTGTTCAGATTGAGAATCAATCACTTCATCAGAATGTGTTCATCATTTCTCACTGAATGGACAAATGATGGATGACGAGTGAGTAGTGTTAACACTGTTAGATGGATGATGCTACGTGATAATGGAAATTAGTAAAATGGAATATGCATTAGTGAAGTGTGTGTGTGTGTGTACGCATTGGTCTCAATGAATCAGCAAATTTTCTCGCCGAATTCTTCTGCAAAACTGATACGATGCAAGATTAGCGTTGAATACATTTCCACTGAATACTATACGGGATTAATGCAAATTAGTGAAAGGAAATACACGAAAATGTGCGTGGTGTTCGGTGTGTCGATAAACAATATTCGACAAATCGCGTGTGTCGTGTTTCTTTAGTGGTTGCGTTGAATGTCCGGTTACGGTAACAGCCTCATAACTGACTGACTGTATACGAAGAGAGATGAGGTGTTCATCTTGAGATGTGATTTCGCGATTGTTCAACATCATTGAAATGAGACGAACCAAGGGGGACGGAGGGACACATTCAAATTATTCTATAGAATTAGGCTTGCATATGAATGCGTGAATGTTATTGATGGTGAAAATCATAGAAGACATGAGATTAGTGTATGTGCATACAATAGTCTATCTACATACTTGTATTGTATAGCAATAAACGCAACCATATCATACAGATTATTAGGGTTATTTGTGAGTGTATACTGTTGGTATCCTGTGAGATGCGTATGAGGATATATTTGATATTTATGTGGCAGAGAGCAGGTGCTCAACCACAAAAAGTTGTGTTTGAGCGATTAGATTAATATGATATCCATGAGTGATGAAAAATAAGAAGGGTGGATGATTGACTAGCAGTTAGAGAAGGATTCACCGATGAGTAGTGACTGAATAAGTAAATAAACGGACCCGAAAATGATTGGTAGGAAAGGTGATGCGAGGTCACTGTATTATAAACAAATAGCATATAATCACAATAACATCAATTGTTATTGCTGTTGTTATGACTGCGATGATTTTGATAGAGAGAGTTCGAATGATGGATTGAGTAGCGAAGTGGATGTGAACTTGCAATTGTATCATATCGTTTCATCACGGTCATCGCAAGTTTATTTGAACAAAATACACCGAAACATGATACCTCACATTAAGCAATCAACAGATATCATTTTCGATTATATTATTAATGTCGAATGCAACTGAGACAATACCAGTTGTTATCATTGTCATTTGCTTATTGCAACGATCAATCACTTCCACTTCATACCTCACTCTTATCAAATTGCATTTTTTGGCGCGCTCCAAAAAAGGTGCGAGTCAGTAGTTCTTCTGATCGCAACAAAAAGAAAGTCAAAGTTCAATGGGGTCAGGGAAAGCGGAATTTTTTCGAGAACTTCAGTCCCTAGTTATAAATTCGTCGCTATAATAAGTGATCATGGTATTTGTTCAGTTGTTCTAACTTAATAGTTTATAATTGATGAAGTACC